GAGATAGAGAGAGAGAGAGAGAGAGATTATGGAAGTGGCAGTAGATCATAGATAACATGGTAATCATACAATAAAAAAACACTGCAAATATTTCAGCAAAAAGTCATTATCATCGTATAATAATTAACAAACAATTCCATCTCTATAACATTTAAAGTTATAAAGACTGTGAAAAGGACGAGCTGTCGAGAAATGATTAAAGTCAAAGAAACAACTGGAGATAACTTAACCTCCTGATCTAATAAATTTTAAATCTAACTCTAGTTGATGTCGAAAATAGGAACGGAGATTCTGGAATTCTCCGCTCCCCGAAGTTGAAGAGTTAAGAAATAGAAAAGATACGGTACACCCGAAAAAAATTAAACATGCACTGATCAGTTAACTCCGTAAAGAGACGATTCGAGGACCCTAAAAAATTGGAAATCGAAACAGGAAGAGACAGAAGGAAATAAATAAAGAAAGTGAGTGTGAGTGTGTGTGAGTGTGTGTGTGTGTGTTTCACAGAGAAAGAGGGGCGAAAAAGACAGGCAAGGGCATACAAACGGGAAGGGAGAAAGACGAAAAGAAAGGAAGAGTGGTAAAATCGAGATTAGGGCCGAGAGGAGAGACAGATGACATTTTATGAGCAAAAGATGACCTAATTTATAGCCGTTGAACGTGGAATATCGATAGATAGAGAGCTATACTTTGAAAGGCCACTAAACGGGTGAGGGTTTTTTAGTTTTTCCACAATTAGGTTTGTTTCTGAGGCAATATAGTCGTTTCTTTTTTTCTTGGTAGACCTAATAATTTTTGTGAACTAAAATTTGATTAAAAAAATAGTTTTGATTAAATGGCAATTGCTTCCGTAGAGCAAACCAAGACGAGACCCCCCACTTTTCTTTTCAGGCCCCGGATAGTCCATATATTTTAAAGAAGGTAGGGCCTGATTTTCTTCAAATACAACATTGTGCAAAAAAAACCCATCTGCACCCTCCTCTTTCCCCCTCTCTGCCCCCTCTCTCTCTCCTCTCTCTCTCTCCCTCTCTCTCTCTCTCTTTCTTTCTCTCTCTCTCACTCTATTTATCTCTCTCTCACTCACTAACTCCCTCTCTCTCTCTCTCTCTCTCTCTCTCTCTCTCTCTCTGTCTCTCTCTTTTGCTGTTTATCTATCTTTCTCTCTACTCCTCTTGTGTTATAATGTGTACCTTTCTGTTTGTTACTCAGTCGAACCGTTTCTGTCTCTGACACAAACACTTACAAGTACCCCCCGCCCAAACACACACACACACACACACACACACACACACACACACACTCTCTTTGGTTGATTTGGTAGAGCACGAACACGAGCGCAAAACCCCGAAAATTGGAATGAGAAATTCCTGCTCGTTTGTCCATGATAACAGGACGTGGGTGTCAATCTTCACTAGGTCAGCTGGTCAGTTCATTATCCCCTATGTCTAAATCGATCCGGGAAGAGGGTGTGTGTGTGTGTGTGTGTGTGTGTGAGAGAGAGAGAGAGAGAGAGAGAGAGAGAGAGAGAGAGAGAGAGAGAGAG